CTGGAAGCAGAAATCGGTCGGTCGCAATTAGTCGGTGTCTTCGGCTGCGGCTGTCCCGCAGATAACGTGGACAGGAGGAGGAGGGGGGCAGATAATCGGGCGTTGGCCGCGTCTTATCAGGCACAGGTGTTCCCTTTCCACGTCAGATAAAACTCCGAATCGGCGTTCGTGTACGTTAGAATCGTTTCGTAGCTGTGCATTATGCACCTGTTGCGCTCGACGACGCGCCCAAGGAGAAAGATAAAAAGAGGAGCCGCGTCTGGATCGAGGCGATCGATCCTCGAGTGGCCTGGAATCGGCACGAGCTCGGAGCAATTAGCTTCGCCAAGCTCGGACTGTGCTTTCTTCGTTAACGGTCCACCGGCAAGGGCCAATTATTCTTGCACGCACGCGAATTGCACGGGAATCGCACGCGACAGCGCTTTCTAAAGATTCTACGGCGCTCGAGATCGCCTCGAAATCGGATCGAGCGCGGGGCAGAAGCGAGACAATGGGCCGCGAGTGGACTTTTCACTGGCGCCCCAATTTCCCAGAGCCCCGGGCTTCGACCAGGGCGCCGAATAGCCGAGCGTTTAAACGTTTTCGGGCTCGGGGACCGAGTTTTTCGGTGGGCGGGCGCGTGCCGGACCTCGCAAATGAATTCACGGTTTCTCGTTTGCGCCCTCCGCCCTGCTCCGCTCCGGCCAGTTCTGCTCCGCTCCGCTCGGCTCGGCTTTCGCATCCATGTTTAATTCATGGGGGACGCGTCCCGACGGCCCACTTCCACCCGGACAGGAAATATCGCGGCCCGTGGAGCGCATGCATGCACATACGCGTGCACCACCTCGAACCTTGTGCACGGTGTGCACAAGTGCACACCGCTGCCAGCCGGAGAAAGATCTTTAACAGGACCAACAACGGGTCTCCCGAGAATCTCGGCCGAATGCAAGGCCGTCGCGACGCCTCTTTAACGCGTCGTTATGACCCGCTGGGACCATCAGGCCGGCGACAGATCGCTGCCGGCTGCAATCGTCACCTTCCCGATCGATCTCTGCCGTCGATTGTGCTCTGATTTTATTCGAAATCTGATATGTTCTAATTCATACCATTTTAGGTGGGGTTTATGTCATCAAACACACACACAGGCGGTAATAACAGTATAAAATAATAAGAGATGAGATTTTATATAATAATAATATAATATAATATAATATAATATAATAATAATAATATAATAATAATAAGATAATTTAATAAGATAATAAGATTTTTAGAGACGTTAATATCTATTATAAACGGTTGAATTTTTCTTCTACCCCTACACATAAGACGAGATAAGTAATAATAATAATAGAATATATAGAGGCACACACAGTTAAATTATAATTATTATACAAATGTGTTGTCAACTTAAACCCCATAAATATCCTGATTATATGTATATAACGCTATTGCATTGTTATGTATTATTACTACAAATTGTAGAGAATACTGGAATTGATAAGGACCCAGATTCATCTGATGTTAAAAGAAAGATTGCAATCTTCTTGTATGTTTTCCAAAAAGAGTCTTCTTCCCGTAAATAAGCAAATAAGACTAAATAAATCATTTTGTTGCCTGCACGTTCGCTTAATAAAATACAGAACTTCGAACAGTGGTCAGTGTCTGAATTTTCGTGAAATCTGCCGCCTGCACTTGAGAATTTTTCTCTCGAGAACCATCCGCGCTATCCATTTGTTTCTTCTGCGATTTTCTATTATACTACAAGAACTATTGGCCTACTGTAAGAACACCGTTCCACTCCAAAAATCGATCTCCCAACATGAAAAATAATTAGCATGCCGTGCAGAGCTTGCCTCGCGAAGACTTTCCCTGAAACTATTCATCTTATCGACACTGTTCCAAGGGGAAAAAGTTGTCAAGAGGATTTCTCCAGCATTATAGCCGGCGAAGATAACGACCGTAGGTGTAGGAGTCTCTTGTCGAGAGGACCACTCGACTCGAGCCACTCTCCCTGAGAAAATATCGGAACGAATAAGGCGGGCCCCCGGCCGCAACAATGACCGCTGGAAAACGCGTGTTCCAGGCTCTCGCAGGACTAATAAAACGGAGCTTCAGAGTCGAAATTGTTGGAAAAGCGAGATAGCCGAGGGCCCGAGAGAATCCTTGCGGAATAAACCGCACCCAGAGCCGATAAATCGGGCCGAGAGGTGCGCGCCGATGAACTTTCGACGTTGTTTGACGGTTTATCCTAACCTCGAATCTCTCTCTCTCTCTCTCTCTCTCTCTCTCTCTCTCTCTCCCTCTCTCTCTCTCTCTCTCTCTCTCTCTCTCTCTCTCTCTCTCTCTCGTACAGCGAATAGTTCGCGGCGGTCGAACGCGCCGAAAAGAAAAGCCAGGTAAAAAGGAAGGAGAGAGAGACCGACGCAAAGGGATCGTTCGCGAGTGCATTCCTTTATCCAGCTCGCTGTTTCCGGCCACAAAGAGAAATGGAGTGGCTCCTCTATCGCGCTTCTCTGTACTTTACACGACCGAAACGTTTTCGGCTTGCACCGGGCTTCTCCTATCCACGAACAACGAAATTCCGCTATCTGTTGCTGATAAGCGGGTATAGTGTATTTTATGCATTTATAGCGGAATTGAATAGCGATGGAAATTAGGATCGAAAGCCTTTACAGAGTCAAAGGATCGACGATCTGAGACAGGATAGAGGCGGAAAGGTGGCGAATAAATAGGATTATTGTTAGCGATACTTAGTTTGTGTATTGTACACTGTATTTAAATATATTTCACCTGGTCTAGGTGTAACACCAACATTGCAAACACATTTCACTTTATTGCAAATATAAACGCACCATGGTTATTTTTTTAATTTTACCCCTATTTTTTTTATTAATCTTTCATTTGCATTCTCAATTTCACAGCGGTATTAGTTGCATGACTGATAATCTTTCATTCAGTTCTTGTTATTTATTATTCATTATATACATGTACTAAGCTATTTCTTATTTTTTATATTGTATACACTTGTATACATTTACATATTGTATACATTTTAATTTTTATTGTACTCGTGTGACGGCTATACAAAATCTCCCTCGTATTTTACATCCTTTTTCTCTAACGAGAATCCTTTTTCTCTCGTTTACCCGTACACACGAATCAAATTATCATTATTATTACTAAATACGTCAATACCTCATAGCGCCGAAATTGCTGGTTATATTTAAAAAATAATAACAATAAATTCTTAATGTTTTTCAAATAAATCAAGTCTCGTCAAATTACATCAATCTGGCTCAGTTCTTTCGCTTAGATGCATATTGAGCTGGCACTAAAAGGGGCAAAATTATTAACAATTGCGTGCGAGTCGATTCAGACGCGAGTTCAAATTGCAGAAATCACGTTCGAGAGAAGCGCGGAAGATCGGAAGCCGGTTTCGCGCGATTAAGAGGGGACCCAGAGGTCGTCGTACACAAAGCCGCAGAAATCCGAGAGTGCTGATAAAGACCGTACGTGGAACGAAACAAAAAGGCTCGCCCGACACAATGAAAATTTGCCGGTGGTTCGCGTTAATCGCCTCGAAAAGTGACGTCGACGGTGTCGACGGTGTCGGCGGTTTCTTTGGCGGTATCTCGGGGGTTCCTAGGACGCGGAAACGTAGACGGCAGAGTTCCTTCTTCCTGCTTCTAGCCTCGGCCTGGTCGTCGAGGGCCGAGATTAAAAGATGCCTTTCATCCTAAGCCACCTACAAAGAGCTCCTCTGTACGTTGCCGTACATTGTGCTCCGCCCTGCCACACGTTCTCGTTAACAGCACCAATTTCCACGAAGTCTGAACAATTAATAACGATCAAGATGGTTCTAGGCCGGCCAGGGAAAAGAGCCGTGGATCGATGGCGATAAGATTGTGGAATATCTAGTTTACGAAAGGCTCCGATATCTCGAGACACGGGAGAGACTCTGTGCAAACGAAAGTACGTACGTTTTATACCGAAGTAAGGAAGTCGAAAACTATTCGTTAAAATAAAAAAGATCGATAGACAAACGATCGAACGGACTTTGATCGGCGAGCAACGACAACGTGCTCACGTACGAAGCCAATAGTTCGTGATAATTAGGTACGCTAATTATCCGAAAATGGAGCCAGTGATTCAAGCTTGTACATACGCAGATTCTAGCTCGCGAAGTGATCAAATAACCGAGCTACAAGCACAACAAAGGATCCGAACTATTGATTACGTTGTTAAACTACGGCGGTGCACGGACTGATGCAAAACAGCGTGGTCGCTAATGATCGACACGACCTATAAATAATTGATAGAAGAAAAACGAACAGGATCGGCTCGCATTGTTTAATCAGTTATTGTGCAGCCTTTTTAGGAGAGCCGTTTCCGTTGTTGTTGCACAATGATTTCCGGCGGAGCGCAGCCGCCGCCGAAATCGGTCTAAACAATTAGCGACCGCTAATCCGCATTGCTTTCGTTAACGTCGGGCGTGGTGTCGGCGTCGAGTCTGGTGCAACCGGTCGACCGCAGATAGATCGTCCGCGGTAATCGTGAGCGTTCGCGGCCAGATGTTTATTTCGAAATGAACGCAATAAATCCCTCGGTTATGGCGTAATGCCGTATCATTGCGGCGACTCCGGAGCTCGCATTACGGTGAATCGATGGCGTTGCCCGCCGAATTCGCGCGGCTCTCTAGGCGCGTACGTACCGGCAGCGACGACAAAAAGTCCGATAAAACCTGCGAGATAACTGGACACGCCGGATCCGTGTTTGCGTTCGATCGAGCACGGTAAATACGCTTGTCGTTCGTTCGTTCGTTCGTTCGCCAGCCTGCCGATTGATCGACGAGTCCGACGGTGCCGGCCAATCAAATTCGCCGCGACCCCGGCAATCAAACGAGTCGTGCTGCAATTAAAACCGTCAGCCTCCGCGGGTCATTAGCGTATTTAAATAACCAGGTGCTGGCGCCGCCTCGACTCGACTCAATTCCATTTCCTGCCGTCGAATGGCATCCG